TAACCAAATCTCTCTGGAGCAAACTGAGGTCTTTCTGTTTACTTCATTATGCCCATTATGCCCCTCACAAATGAGGCCCAAAGGACTGTAAAAATTTAAATATATGAGTAGGCCTTTATTTTCGAGCATGCATGCACCTGCTGTGGAAACCCGAGTTACTTCCACTTAAGAAAGCAGCAGCTCTAGGAATACTATCAAATGACACCAAACTTGCAAATCAGTTGTTCATACTTTGCCAGCTACTGCCTGTAGGGGACAGAGAAATACCTGGATGAAATATTCTGGGACCAGGGTTATACATATGGCATAAGGGAAGGGCTGGTCTTTCTGATGACAGTGAAGATCCAGCTTTGCCCTCCAAAGTACAATAGCCTTGAAGAAATCCTTCCTGGAAAGACTTCTAGCAAAGCTTTTGGTATCTGTTGTGTTTGTGATGGGGAGGAAAAACTCTAAAACGTTTAATTTAAAATGTTGTTGAGAGGTCATTTAACAAAGAAACTCTGACTGGGATAGTCCATATACTGGAAATTACCATATATATATATAATATATATATTATTTTATTTGTTTTTCTTTTAATATAAAAACAAGGGCTGAATGGCAGATGTTGTATGTGTACCCTGGAAACATGATTAGGATCTTCCAGCGAGTTAGGGGAGGTTTTCAATTTCGGTGTGGGCATGGCTTCCCTGAGGCCTTCCTAACACTTCCCTGCCCACCTGGGAAGCTGGCAGCATGGTCCCCAGGTCCTACCATGCTGAGGGGGCAGGCAGGGCTGGTGCACAGATGGGGACTGTAGGATGCTAAAAGGGTGCCATTACCTGCCTACTTCTGCCAGAGCCCTAATTATTGCCGGGCTCTGGGTCTATTGTCAATTAAAGTGGTAGCAACGGCGAGCAGCAGCTGTGACAGATGGCTGGGCTCCAGCCACCTCGTGGCAATGGGACCAGAGCCAACTCAAATCTTTTCTTTCCTCTTAAAAATAAATAAATGAATTGGGGGAAAAAAAAAAAAAAAAAAAAAAAAGTCCCTCAAATCAACACATGGTTGTCAATTATTCACCACATATTAGGGGGTAGTATCATGTCTACAAAGGCATTATTTTTCTCTATGAACCCTTACTTTCATTTTTTTGAAGTCAGGATTTTGTTTATTTATTACTTACTTCAAACATGTTTTAGCAGGATATTCAACCCAAAAGACAGTTTACATTAAACCTTTGTTCTGAGAGGAACTTACAAGACACTTTGTTCGTAACTGAACCAATTTAACCCAGTTGTTAGCTTTTTAATTACAGAAATCTTTCTTGCAGAACTGTACAGACTCTGGGTTCAGAACAAAGCACACTAAAATAAATCCAAGACTCAACCTGTTGTTTCTGGTGAGTCTACTTCCATTTATTACCTTTAGATTATATTTAATTTATGTAAAGATGGGTCATAGCACCCTTCCCAATCTCAGATAGACAAGACCCAAAGTGGTCTCTGAAGGGCCTTTATTATTCTCATTTCCACATGATTTGGGGTGTTAGGCACTTCTGTTCTTCTTTAGGTTCACCCACTCTCAGCCTAAACCATCTTTTGCAGTCTCCAAGGAAATACCTCAAATTCTGGGTACCCAGTATGGAGCAATCAACCTAACTGCAGCCAACAGTGACCACATCTTGACAGCATTCTGCACCAAATTACACCTTGAATGGTTCAACCCTTTGACCACAAACTGAAACACTGATAATCTGGTCAGATGTATATTTGTTTTATTGATATCATGTGGGTTATATCAGTAGCAAAAGTGTAGCTCTGAGATTTAATATTAATGTTCTATAAGGAGTTGAGGGGGAATACTGTGGTGTTTTTACCCTGCTTGGCAGATCAACTCCACCATAGCTGCCCTCTCACTCCCCCTCCTCAGTGGAAGAAAATATGATGGAAAAGGGCTCAAGGGTTGAGACTGGGAGTTTGCTCACTAATTATCACAAACAAAACAGACTCAGTATAAGGGGGAGTAATATAATTTATTGTCTATCACTGGCAGTCTAGAACATTAAGAACTAAAAGCAAACCAAAACCACCTTCCCCCCATCCACCCTCTTCTATGTCCCCCCCCCCAAGCAGTGCAGGAAAACAGGTAATGGGGGCTGCGGTCAGTCCCTGACACTGCTCCTTCACGGTCACTCTCTGCCCCTGCTCCACATAGGGTCCCTCCTACATGATGCCATCCTTCCCGAACTGAGCCTGCAGGGGCTGCCCACAGGCAGCAACTCTTCAAGAACTGCTCCCACATGGCTTCGTACCACGGGGTCCATCTGTCAGGAGCAAACTGCTCCAGCATGGGTCTCCCACGGGCGTCAGCTCCCCCAGACCCCCTGCTCCTGCAGGGGCTCTCCATGGGCCACAACGTCCTCCAGAACACATCCACCTGCTCCACCAGGGGCTCCTCTGTGGGCTGCAGCATGGAAATCTGCTCCATGTGGGACCCATGGGCTGCAGGGGGACAGCCTGCTCCACCAGGGGCCTCTCCACAGGCCGCAGGGGAACTTGCGCTGTGTGCCTGCAGCACCTTGTGTCCTCCTTCTGCACTGAACTTGGGGGCTGCAGGGCGGGCTGCTTCTCTCCCTTTTTCCCACTCCTCTCTCCCAGCTGCAGTTATGCATCCTTTATCCCCCCCCCCTTTCTTCAGTCTGCACTCCCAGAGGCCCACCCAGCATCTCTCCCTGTCTCAGCTCTGGACAGTAGCAGGTCCATTTGGAACCATCTGGAGCTGGCTCTGATCTGATATGAGGGCAACCTCTTGGCTCTTCTAACAGAGGCCACCCCTGCAGCCTGCCTGCTACCAAAACCTTGTCATGTAAACACAATACAAATACACAAAAAGAGATGGTGGGATCCCATTGGAAGAACTTCTATTTCATCAGCAGTGACTTTGAAAACGCGAGTGCAGAATAGTTTAAAAATTCAGTGAACTGAAATTTTTTGATATTAAATAAAAAGTGTTGACTAGTAGTAGGTATAAATCAAAGAATGAAACACATTTAGATTCCTTGTCAACTAAATCAGTGATTCTTTGAGAAAGAAGTATAAGGAAAGCAAAGAAAGAAGTGGATTACTTCCTTGCTAACTTTAAATTACTCTTTCTGTAATATCTTTCTTTCTAGATCCAAGCAGCCCATCCCAGACTGTCTGCTTTGCTATCATCCAAAAGGCAAAACATTTTAAACTATTTGGAACAAAGGAAATCTCTTTCCATAGAAGAGGAAAATTTGGTTAGAGTAAACATAAATAAAGCTAACATGATTGGAGCATAAAAAAAAAAAAAAAAAAGAAAAAAAAAAAGAGTGAGAGAGACAGAGAGCAATCTATCAAAAATAGACGAATACAAAGCAGACTTACCAAATTCTGAAAAGGAGAAGAAAATTTGAAACAGAAGAAACCCCAGCAGCATTATTAATCATCCTTATTTTGATTTGTTTTGTGTTGTTTTGTTTTTATTTCTATTATAATGGTGTCTTGAGGCCACTATCTAGAGTTAAAATTTAAGCTCGAGATATGAACTGTTGTGTATCTGGTTGGTTAATGCCCCCAAGAGATTAGAAAAATTAAAAGAAAACTTAATCTCTAGTTGTTATAGTATTTATTATTTCGTACAGTCTTGGGACAACACAAACACAAAGTATTTTTACTGTTACAATTAATTTGAGCTTTTTTTTTTTTAATAAAAAATATTCAACTTGAATTCAACATAGGAAAGGGGCTTGATGGATTGTTACTGCTTAGTGCTTATTCTACAAAGGTTTTACTGACTTATACAACATTTTCCTTATTCATTAAATAAAAATAAAAATAAAAAAAAAAGGAAAGAAAAATATTTTTTTCTTCTGTTATATTAAAACTTTTTCCATTTTTTTAATAGGGAAAGAAAGCACTTTCCCTTCTCTTTACTCTTGGCACAGAGGGTTTTATTTGGGGGATGAAAGAACAAGAGGGCATTCTCTCTTCTCAAGTATTGTTAGAATTCAGTTTAGTCTGTCAAAACGGTACCTACATCTTGTGGTCTGAACTTAGTGAGGTATGCAGAGTAGGTGATCCCATCTAGTTTTGATTTTTATTTCTATGGACTGTTCTCCTCAATTTTGCAAACTCTGATCAGCTACTCTTTCTTTCTTGAAAATTTCCAAAAAGTAGCTTGCATCCCATGTAAGCAAAAAGAAAAACAAAAAAACAAACAAACAAACAAAAAAAAAGAGAGAGAGAAGAAAGTGGGAGAGAACCTGGAGAGAATCTGCTGTTTGGATTTCTCCAAACATGCTGTTTGGAGAATGGACATTCAGAGAATAAAAGAAGCGTCCATGGTCACACAAGCAGCATGGGCATATCAGGAGAAGATATGCAGTTCTTCCAGGTTTCAGTCAGGTATCCTAGTCATGTAATCAGCTTCCATGTTTTGAAGGTTAAGCAGGTCAAAATAAGAAGGGAGAAACAAAGTCTTTTAAAGGGAACTGTTTGCATTTCCCTTTAAATAAATAGAGTATTTGCATTAATTTTTATGTTTTGGGGACATATCTCATCAAAAAGGTGAATACAATTATTTAAACAAAAATAGCATGAAAAGGAATTGTTTTAAAATTCAAATCTTATTGAGTAGCTCTGGATGATTTATCTATGTAAGATAAAAATTGATCCAAGGACCCCTCCCTTACATCCAAATAAGCCCTATTTTTGTTTTACAGTAAAATACTGACAGATACTTGGATATATTATTTTGCAAAGTATTGTTGAAATTTGCAATATATTGTAAAATAATTATTTTAATATTTAATATATATATATTTATATTTAATATATATTTTATATATAAAATAATATTGAAAAATAATTATTTTTCACACTTGGGTGGAACCAAACTCCAGAAATGGTGTTTTGGAATAATTTTAAATGAAAAAAAAAAAAAAAAAAGGTACAAAAGTACTGTATTTACTAATTACATCACATCTGCAATTTCAGGCAGAACGGAAGTTGAGATCTATGGAAAGGTTAACATCAGGTTTGAAATTAAAAGTTACCTTCAACTGTTAATCAGGTGAGTAACTTTACTCATAAGAACCATTTCATTTGTTACCATTCATGTGTATAATCACATATGATTACACTGAGTTTAATTCTGCTAGTCCTTATTTTGGACTGGGTCATATTGCTAATTTTTAAAGGACTGTTCATCGATTTCAGTGCACATTTCTGATTACAATGCAAAAGAGCTCTTTCTTTTCTTTATTTTTTTTTCTCAATAATTAAATCTTCAAGGAGCAGTTCCTTTCTTTGATGCTAAAGTTTTTGTTTCCACTATCAATAGATAAAGATAATTTAGTAGTTAATTGATACAGATGATATACAAATGCAAGGAAATGCACTATATCATGGGAAAAAAAAAAAAAAAAAAAAGGAAAAAAAAAAGATTAAAAAAAAAGATAAAGCTGTTCTTGTAGCTCTTTACCAACTTGCAGCCTCTGCAATATCTTGTATATTGTTGACATTCTTTTGCTTGGGCTAACAATAACATGCATACAATACTCCCATCACACCCTTCACTAGCTTAGTCAACCCTATTCATGTGTTACACACCTGTGCATATTTGCAGTCCATTTAACTGTGGCCTGAGAAATATTAGCTTTCAAGGTGGACTCAGTAAAGATGTTTTACCCCCTTTTTGTATTTCACAAGCACTAAAGGATTAGGAAGTCACAGACCCTACAAGTTATATTTTTATATTTGATGGTCTCACAATTTTATATCAGCCTTGCTTCATTAAATAGGTAGGGATGTGTGCATCAACACATGCTTACATGCAGACAGTATCTGCTTTTTCTCTAAGCTGTGTCATATTTTCTAATGAGAATTTTTTTTTCCTTTTCTTTCTAAATGGTCACACATTTAGACATATAATCTATAGAAGGATTCAGTTCCTTAGAGACAGAAAACTTTCAGTGTTATATGTTGCAAGATTGTACCAGAAAACATGGGGAATCTTTTAAGGAAATGATGAAATTATCAATGACAATAATTTAATAGTTTATGCCAACTTTTTATATTTCAAATGTCTGATTAGTGGATGGAGGAGATCTGAAATCTATTGCAGTCTGCAGTTAGGTGCAAAACACTGTTATTCCTGAATGCCTGGAATTGCCTAGTCATGCATAGAAGATATTTTGAGTCTCTTTCATTGACACAATATAATCTCATTGAATTGAGCTTGAGTTTGACCCTTAATCTATCATCTGGCCACCACAGTTCTATCTTCTTATGTAATTAACAGGTTGTTTCTGCTTAAACTGAATGAGGACACCTCAATTCCAATTTATCTGGAAATTTACCCCAACCTAAGCCAAGAAATGTTTCACCATTTTATGTGCATAACATTTATTCTCTACCACAGGCTACTTGCTGTTGACAAGCAGAAATGGCTGTCATCATTACTCATGACTAAAATAAAGTTAATGAATGGGTAAATTATTTACTTAGAAAAATCTTTATGTAAGATATCAACATGTAATACAGATACTGTTTATGTGTCATTGACAGAGAATATCAGATTTCAGTGTAAGCTTTGCATCAAATGATGAACTAAAAATGACTCTAGAACAACAACAACAAATATATGCAATTGGTCATATCGTCTTGCAAGTGTTTTCTGAATTCTTTTTCCTTAAGCTCATTTGCAGATGGTTCAAGGATGCATGCTACTGTTACTGAAGATATGCAAAAACCTTAATTCATGTTTTAAAGGCTTGTCCTCATCTGTTCCTGACTTACCCTTTTATTTTAAACCCCTTTAGTACATCTTACTACACTAACAGGGAACAACATGAATAGATTTATTATTGAATGAATAAAAGTAGAAAAATAAAAAGGTCTAAAGCCTGTGCGACAAGCATGGAGAAAAACTGTAAGCAAGAAGCTCCTGAATGATGAAAGTACTTCCCCTCTTTTTCATAGCATTTTGATAACTTTCCAAGAAAACAGTGTAATTCCTGGTTTTTAAGACTTTTAAAACAAATCATTTATAATTTTAAAATTAGAGTGGACAAAACAATAGAAAATGTGTCATAGAGGTGAATTCCTCACAACCAGGTATTTTGCTAAAACAGAACAAAGTTTTCATACAAAATTCCAACCCAAACCATTCTGTGATTCTGTTATTATGTGATTCTGTGATTCTATTATTCTATGATATTGTTATAACCCAGTCACTGAAAGATTTTGAAGTATTTTTGTTGCCTTAGACTAAGTACAAACAGAAAAGTTGTAACATAGTTAAAGATTTTGTATAATAATAGTGTCTAACTATGTAAGACTGCCATCCTTAGATGCTTTCCTTCACAATCGATGGTGTCACTTGATTATATCCTTATGAAATCAATAAATAATTGCTAGTTACACTAGCTGGTTGTATGTGTGATAACTTTTAGTATTTTTTAATAAAATTGAAGTGCAATTTTAAAGCAATTTTACTGTGATTTTAAAACATATTACTAGTTGTTGTAAAGAAATAAGTAATTGGGAGCTTTTTTCTAACTGTCACATTCTGGAAGGTACCAAAGGATTTTAAACATCTTTAAGACTTGTTGGGTCTGACAATGTAGATGACACATCTGACTTCAAGGAAAATATACAAATAATTGATACAGTAATTGCAATGTGTAAAACTGGAAACCCAAGGCAGGATTTATGGTCACCTTATTTTATGTTTATAATGTGGGAATATACACCAGATGTAGTCACCCAAGGATTATTTTACAGGCAATATATTTGGGACAGTGTTCAATTTGTTAATTATAGGTGTTTATTTTAGGGTAAGACATACCTCATTTGGGCTCTGCTGATTGTATTGACTCAGTCTTCATTGATTATTGACTCAATCCCATGTTTCAGCAGCCTCAGGTGACTAACTCAAGTTTTACTGTCTATGTTATGAGCAACCACATTTAGTGATTATCCCACTAGTACTATCCATAGAACTATGAGTACTAATAGTACTCATAGTTCTGTTTAAGTCATTGGCAAAATTACCACTAAGCCATTGTGGGAAAAGAGATAGGGCAAAAGTGAGGATTTTGAATAACCTCCACAATACAAACAAAACTAACCATCCATGTATTTACATTTTAAGTGTTAGAAACAGAAAGCCCTTGAAAAGTTTGTCTTACTGTTTCAGTACAAGTACTTTCATATAGAAATTTCTGATTACATTCATTTCCTGGCCCTATCGTCACTTAGTCAAGCATTACTTCAGGTTGCAATTGGAAAACCATGTCTCTTGCGCTTCAGCAAAGCACCTAATCTCCAATTTCAAATGTCTTCACCTCATGTAAGCTCGCTGTTCTTTTGCCAGCTAGGAACATAAATTCTAATTTATTCCAAAGTTAAGCATATCCATTAGTCTCACAGTTAAGCGAGATTGCAAAACAAAGAAGGAAAAAGAAAATCACTGAAATTCATGTTGTTAAACTGGCAGGAAACCCAAGCAGCTCCAAGCATGTGATGCGGTGAAATGAAAAAGAATAGCAATATAATTCACAATTGGCTTGCTCCAGCAAGATTGAATTTAACAGGAACTATTGATATCTGCAGGAAGATCAAGCCTCCTATTTGATAATATTTAGAGAAATAGTACAAAAGAACCTGCTTAGATTTTAAGAATGCCCTTGATATCAATTCAAAAGAAGTCCATGTGTAACAATTTACAATAAATTATTCTTTTCCCTCCAAGCAATTTTGAAGTATTAGACTGGGAGAAAAATAAAGAAAAAAAAATAAAGTCCCATTAGGTCAGAGTAAATGTCTTCAAATCCCACCTTGGAGAAAGGCCAAAAGCAAAGAAAGAGATTATGAACAGCAAATACAACAATGCTTCTGTAGTGATTTAAGGCTCAGGGACCACCTGAGGAAAATCTGTAGTCTTTGCATTAAACAATTTTCAATAGCTTTTATGTGAGACGAACAATCTTCAATCTTTGTTTGTTTGTTTGTTTGTTTGCTTTGCATATGCACCTACAGTATATATATATATATATGTATATATATATATTTTAGAGAGAGAGAGAGAAATAAAAAGTAGCTATTCTACATTAAATGTCTCCCAGCCATTAACAATTTTATAGTTCTTCTGTCACACTACTTCTTTGGTCATTTCTTTAATTTCCTTGTACGTCTAAGCCCACTTAGTCTTTCCTTATACAGAAGCCACTATATAGTTTTGATTTTTTGGTCTTCCGAACAATTTCTTCTCATCCATATACCTTTTGAGTCAAAGGAACAAGTATTTCAAAAAGAACTCATAGCCGTAGCCATACAGTTATTCTCTGTTTTGATATTTCTTTCATACAGATTTCTATTTGGTTAAAGTTTATTTGGCAATTTGTAAGCATTGAGTTGATGTTTTCATAGAATGATTGTAAAGTATAGATGAATATATATGTATATATATATAATGCAAATATCTATCCTATCCAGATTTGCTGATGCTATTTATTTTAGTTATCTATTCTTCATGCCCTAGTGACATTTCACAAACATACATTTTAATTCTGGTTTTCCTCCTTAGACAAAGAAGAAAGTTAAATACTTCTATGGTACAATCCAGAGCAGAGTCAAAAATAATCTTTTTCTCTCCAGTGACTGAAGCAATCAAGTGAGAGTAAAACACTAGCATAGCTGATGCCTAAAACTGTGTAACAATAAAACCATTACAATCTCTGGTGTGCTGATGGATGAAGATCCCTTTGTTTACTTGCTAGAAAAGCACTTTTGTACTTCTCATAGTTCTTCAAATTTAGCAATAAAGCTCTATCAAACTGAGAGAAAGTGGAAATGTAAAGTCTTCATGTAAAGTCTTCAATGTCTCCTTAGTTTTCACAGAATCACAATTGCAGAGCTCAGCCCCCACTCTACCTCATCTGAAAGAATAGAGATCTTACTCAGTCCCTTGTTAATATTTAAAACATTTTCCCTTACTTCTCTGAGGCAGCTAATATAATTAACTTTGACCTATTGACTGGCCTTATCCATACCAAGTATTGTTCTCAC